GATTCGGTGTCGGAGACTAATAAAAACGGGCTTTACAAGTCGAATCTGGATGGAGCTACTGAGAAATCAGAGAAGAAACATAAGGCAACACAAGCTGATGTGAGTGCAAAGAGATCGAGAATCTTGCTAAAAATTCCTCGCGAGAATGAATCGGAGGAAAATCAGCAAGAAAGCTCACAAAAGATCGGCAATAATCTCGATGAGAATGGTGATGATAACGATGAGGAAGGTAAAATTAATAATAATGAAGAAGAACCCAAGACATGGAATTTGAGACCCCGAAAACCAATCTGCAAGTCTCTTAATGGAGCGGCTGGAAAGATTAATGGGTCGTCAGTGCAAGATAAGAAAGTTCATTCACCGCAGAGGAATTCAAGTAATAGATTGGTGGAGAATGAGGCAAATGGTGATGGTCTTCAAAAGAAGGAGAAGAGGAAGCTGAACATTTTGATTGCACTGTCAAAAGAGGAGATCGAGGAAGATGTTTTCAATTTGACCGGTTCAAAGCCTACGAGGAGGCCTAAGAAGAGAGCGAAAAACATCCAGAAACATCTCGATGTAAGAGAAGATCTAATCTTTCATTTGATCTAATTCTGATTTGATCATATTTTTCTGAGTTTCAAATTTTTCCTTTTCTTTTCATTGAATTGTTCAATTCACTTATCTAATTTTACATGCAGTCTCTGTTTCCTGGATTGTGGTTGACCTCAATAACTCCTGATTCATACAAGGTATCTGAAACATATCTGAAGGTCAGTCTTGAATAATGCAAATCGGGTTTGGTTACTTAATTTTTGTTTTAGTTTGATTTGTTGCTTATCGAGATGATTATGCTGTATGCAGGGATAGATGCTATAAAGAATAGATGATTATGTCCTGAAAAAGTCCTTCCGGAAGTTTTAAGGCCGAATTTTCTGATGACATTTGAAGGTATTATCTGCAATAACTTGTAAAGGTGAAGGAAGAATAAGCTATTTTAGCTTTTTTGTACCCTTTTCTGATGTTTCATGCTCATTTCAGAGAATTGGGCCTAGAACTTTAGTTCTTTGATATATTAGCAATGGCAGATGTAAATATGAATTTGATGATTATAAGAGTTAAGTTTTCGATAGAGTGGTATTTGTTTTTTATAATTGATTTTTTCCTTGCTTGCCAATACCGGAAAACGATGTTTGAGAAGTCTGGGACACATGGCTAGCCTTATTTTTATTCCTTCCAAATTTGACTATTGAGAAAAAAATATTTGCATTTGAATTAATTTATTGCATACGGTCCTTGATAAATTACAAATAATGTTTAATTATTTCCTGTGTTCATAAGCATTCGTAGGATATTATTAATTCCATGTAGATAATTCAGTCAATTTTGAATCGAGTAACTAATATGGATTTGCCCATGTCCATAAGTGGACTTAGGATACTATCATTTTTGTGCGATTGAACTCAACCAATTCTGAGTACTGTTTGATAATTTGAAATAAGAGATGAAGAGAAAACCACTTTGAATAAGATATTTGTGTGTATAAAGTGGATGTGCTATTGAATTACATATAATATCCAATTTTGAAATGTTTAATATTGTCGTTGTGTGATCATATATATTTTTCCTTTTTTGGAAATGGATGTGTGATGAAATTTGGGGTGGCAAATGGGCCGAATTGCTCCCAGGCTCAACTCGGCCCATGCATTGGCTTGTTTTGAGATGAGCCATGGATCGAACTGGACAATTTTTTTACTTTATTATTATTATTATTTTTTTTTGTCGCGAGCTGACTCGTGGATCAG